TGACATTCAGTTTGGAGTTCAGGAGATTGTTTTGACCAGGACCACATCCCTAAATGCATTGAAGCAACTGCCATGTGATTGGTTGATTAGATAATTGCATTAATGAGAAATTGAACAGGTGTTCCTAATAATCCTTTAGCTGAGTGTATATAGGTAGAAACTAAATATATGTTTAGAGCTTTGTAAGGAGAATAAAAAAAATAAGGGTCACTGACTTCAGAGTCTGAGTCACGAAGCAGCTATAAAAGTATAAAAATACTTTATAAATTGGAATTGCAAAGCATGTGATGTGAACCTTTGCCTTTGACCAGACATAAACTGTTTTAAAGCTTGGCATCCTGATCAATATTGTGACTAATATTCCTTTATTGTTTTTTTTATTCTCGTAATATAAAGTGATATTTTATTAATCTGATATGCAAATCGCCCACCCATTTGCAAATAGCGCTATTTGTATGATAATGATACGATCATCCCATGGTTGTTACTGCGTTACGAAAACATGTGAAAACTCCCATAAACAAGAGCACAAGTCTGGGTTCTGTTTACACTGACTGAGGACCTGCAACCTTTTATTTTGTGATGTGAGAGAGTTTTCACTGGGGAAATGTGGTAAAAAAAAAAAAAAAAAAAAAACATCGGTTAAAAATTCATGGATAACTGCGGATTCAGATATGCAGTAACTGTAAATTATAAACTTTGTAAAGTACAGTATATAATATACACGCACACACATATGTTAGGAAAGCTGACTTTAATGGTATGAGACAAAGTAGGAAATTAAAACTGGATGGAGTTAATAAAACTATTGAAGAGGCATGGGACTTTTTTAAAAGCACATTATTGCAAGCGCAAGAGGGCTTCATACCTGTTTCCAGCACATCTAAATTTGGGAATTTCGTTCCAAACTTAAAACATAAATGTACCTAATTGTGAGATATCTGTATTTGCTGTGAGCTCGAAAAAAAGATAAGTTGACTATAAAGAAGTTTTTCTGTTGCTGTAACGGGATACTTGTAAGAGTTTTCTGTTTTACTGTTTGTGGGGAAAAAAAACAGCCATTTACTGTTTGGGGAAAAAACAGAAGAACAAAACACTGCTTTAGCCATTTACTGTTCAGGATAAAATAGCCTTTACAGCTCATAATCTGTGGCTGAACCATCAAACATGTCCT